AAGGTCAGAAGAAGAGGGGTTCACCTGAAGAGACAAACAGGTCCAGTGAACAATAAAAAACAAACAAACAAACAAACAAAAAAACCAACCCTCTAAAACACAAAGACTTTCCAGAAGAGAAGACAAAGACATTAGTGAAATGAGTGACAGTATTGAAGTTTCCAGATGAGAAAAAATAAATGCTACCACCAGCTAAAGATGATTTAAGATGGCACACACACCCCACACCCCCAAACGAAAAAAGAAGCTGAAGGAAATAGCAAGAAAAGGGCAACAAGGAGCAGCAGCAAAGGCAGCAGACAGCAGATATGCACAGCAGCCCTGGGTGGTAAGCATGAGCTACAGGGAAACCTGCACAGCGGATGTGCTAGCTGCAAGGCTGGAAGAGAGACGAGGTGCCAGTGTCGCCCCGCCCCAGCCCCAGCCCTGCAGGCAAGCCAATTACACCAGCTTCACAATCCCAGTTCTTGGTGTCCGGACAAATAACATAATGCACCCCAGGGGCATCTTCCCTGAACCACTAATGAGGTTCAAGAGTTGACAGAGGTATTTATTTGGGTCGGGACAAATTACAACTCAGGAGTTTACTGTTGAAGCCTACATTTAGTTGTTCACAAAAATCCTTGGTAAAGGCTTCACATAACAGACAAACCACATACTACAGAAGACTGTGAGAGTGGTTATCACAGAGTTCCTTTTTTTGGAGAGGTTTTTTGTTATAGAATGCGTGCAGATAGAGACAGAAAGCAAGAAATCACCCCCCTAGGGGGGATGGCCACTCCACAATCACTTCGCCTCCATTCTCCTCTCGGGATCCTGGGCACGCACGCACGCACGCCCAGTGTGAGTTTAAGCCACCGGGTCCGGGATTCAAACCACGGTCGACTACATGGGAGTCCAGCGACATAGCCATTACATCAACTGCTGGTCCCATCACAGGGTTCTTGAGTGAAGGCAAAAATTAAACCTGTTGCTGTTCTTTTTTTTTTTTGGAGAGGTTTTTGCTATAGGGCACGTGCGCTCCCCAGAAAAACAGAGAGAGACAGAAAATGAGAAATCACCCCTCAGGGGTGATGGCCACCCCCCAATCCCTTCTCCTCCATTCTCCTCTCAGGATCTTGGGCACACATGCACACGTGCCTGGTGTGAGTTTAAGCCACCGGGTCCGGGACTTGAATCACGGTCCACTACATGGGAGTCCAGCGACATAGCCATTACACTAACTGCTGGTCCTGTTGCTGTTCTTACAATGGCAAACAGACCTGGAGTTCTCCTTATGGGCTGGACACTATCCTAATTGATACATAGATTCAATCCACTTAGTCTTGGCAATGGCACTATTTCATGCAGATGCTGTTACTTTCATTGTTTTTTTCAAAGAATTATTTTATTTAACTTTATTTATTTATTTAAATTTGACCAGATCATGTGGGAGTCCAGCACCCTCAACCACACCACCTGCTGGTCCCGTTGTTATTATCATCTTAAAATGACACACTCATCGGGGAATGAAAACACACTTCATGGTTTCCAGCACTCTGTTCCTTTCCTCTGTAGTACACTACACTGAAGGGAAATCTGAGACTCCTACGTGACTTGGAGACAAAACAGTGTCGACAGCAGTGACAGCGCTGGGTCATCTATTCGTTTGGTAATGAGAACTGCCACACACTGAGTGCGGGCCACGTGCCAGGCACTACACTAAACACTTCTCGGGCAGTATCTCATTTGGCTCTCACAGGAACAGGGACCGGATGGTGGTGCAGTGGTAAAATCCAACACTCAAAGACAATCCTACATGAGAAGGTTTCCAGTTCATATCCAGAGACTGTCTGGAGTGCACGGGACACTGTGCGTGCATGACCCGAGTGCATGGGACACTATGCGTGCATGACCCGAGTGCATGGGACACTGTGCGTGCGTGACCCGAGTGCACCGAGGACACAGTTCGCGCGTGCCCCGAGTGCACTGGACACTGTGCATGTGTGCCCCGAGACACTGTGCGTGTGTGCCCCAAGTGCACCGGGATACTGTGCGTGCGTGCCCCAAGGCTGGCTAAAGCTACAGGTGGATTGTGGCATCCAAATCCCACTGAGGGTGCTGTTCCCTTCACTGCTCTTGGTCATGGAAGAAAGAAACTTAAAAACAAATAAAGCTCACAATGATGAAGGTTCTAAAATAAACCTATTTTGGTTTGGGGTGGGACTAGATAGCATGTCCCAATGTTATATTAGGTTGGGAAAGTCATGACATATTTTTCTGTGTTTTTCTATGCAAAAACGTGTCAGGACTTTCCCAACAGCCCAATACACATGGTACACAGGGGACCAGGATTCGAACCCGGTCTGCTTATTTGTGAAACTTCACCTGGTTAGCCCATAACAGACCACATTACTGACGGTTCTTCCGCAGAGAAAGCTACAAGCACTCTGCGCACCACCATTACTGTATGAGAGCCGCAGGTGCTTCTCAGAGGAGGGGGCACCCAAACCGCAGGGTATTCTTATTTGTCTCAATGAAAGAATAAGGATTTTTGTGAACAAATGCTGTCAGGGCCGTGTGTATGTCATGAGAGTGGCCCGGACACCTCGTTCACTCGACAGCACAGCCTGAGCCACGCATTAGTTACCGCTGCTTTGCACAGCACCTCCTCACTGCATTGCAGGCCTGGCCCTCAGCCATTTTATTTAAAAGGATGAAAATAAGATTTTTCTCCTCTAAGAAGCTAAGTTTCAAGACAATTTCCTGGTCTAAAATGTACCTGGAATATCTACACTATATTGCAGTGAATATTGTACAAAAGAATAAAACAGTTACTCAAGAGAGATTACGAGAGGTTCAACATGACCTGTCTTAAGGTAGGAAAGGGATATGGTAGAAACCTTTGTACCCACAATTAACGCATCTGTGCACAGAATGCAAATCTGCAACTATCTCAGACCATCAGGGCCTGGTACATCTTCCACTCGCCGCTCCAGGTACATAATTTCCTGGCTTTGTTCTACTAAAACCTAGCTTCATTAGACCAAGTAATTAATCAAGTAACCACCTATGTCACAGTAGCTTCAAATGTTAGGGTTATACTCTCTTTCACTAATACCCATATTGTTCTTACCAAAATCTCAGGATTTTAGCTATCCCACTTAAAGAACAGGCAGAGATAAATTTAAGAATGTTTGCCATTGTACACACACAGTTCGAGGTTTCTAGTGTATACATAATACACTTGTGTAAACTGATGATATAAAAATCTCTAGTAATGTTTATTATTTTTTAAATCATAATTCATTAGTTGATTTGACACTTACCCTGAAGTCATTCTTAAATTTCTTTAAATCATCAATCTGTTTTCTATGTTCAGAAACAATTGGTGATATACCTATAAAATTAAAAACTGTTAGATAACAGATTTATTTTATTTATTTACTTTTTAAGGTTTCGCACCCAGCATGATTTTCAAGCTGCCAGGTCTGGGCCAACTGTGGTTGGTCATGTGATTAACTTCCATGCTACCTGCTGACCCCAATAGGTGTATTCTTAACCCTTAAATTAGAAGTTTTTTAGGATGGGATGTAAGAAATGAGAGTAAGATCTACTAGCAAAAGAATAACAATTTTAAGTATTAATTTTGAATTCCTTCACTTGTCGTTATGCATTTATAGATACACACTACTAAGAAAAAGTGTTGACCAAAAATATTCTATATTGGGCAGGAAATTAGATATACTTCTTCTTATTTCTACAATTATGGCTAAAGACTTTTAAAAACTCTAACCTTTACCTTTATTCTCAGCTTTTGAGAAGCTAGGTGATGTTTCATTGGGCTTAATGTTTTCTTTATTACCCGCAGGAGAGCTCTGTCTCTGATCTTGAAGCCTGGAATCTTTAGCTAGAAAACAATTTAAAAACCAAAAACAAAACCAAAAAAACTCAGTTAGACAAAAACGTAGAAAAATAAAATGGAAAAACACTCAATTATTCTGATTTGCTATGCTTTTAAACAGAGGCTTTTCTCCTTTGCAGATACCATATGAAACACCAATAATTTAATTTTAAGTATATATCAATAATTCCCAGAATGTTAACTTCCATTAAAATAGAACTGAATATCAAATTTGTAGCTTTACTTAAGCACCTAACCTCAGTTACATTTTAAATGTGCTGTCAAAATGTGTGTCTATGAATAAAACAACAAACTTTTTCATATAACGTCCATCCCCTAACACTCAATTCCACAGATGATACAATATATCTGGAAGCCCTTTCTTACACACCCTCAATAGATGGAGTAACAGCTCTGTTGGATGCAGGACTAGCAGGAGTAGGAGATGCAGCTGGAACAGGCGTGGCGACAGCATCAGCTGGAATAATACCAGCTTGAGGAGAAGCAAGAACTGGCCCACTGGGAGTATTTCCAATACTGTTCTGTCTAGGAGACCTGGGTCTGTGAGTTTTAGGGGATAATCTTGGAACTAGGAGAAAGAAAAGTTATTTATTACATTCTCAACTCAAATGCTACCTCCCTCAAAGAAGCTTCTCTAAAGATTCAGGTAAAATAATTCTCTACAGTCCCCATACTTTATCCCATTACCCTGTTTTCTTTTTTAATGTCTATGAAACAGTGGTGGTAATCAAGAACCCAGAAATCTGAATGACAGCAACTGCTAATATGCAAGTACAACTATGGCTTCCCCTCCTAACTAAATGTATTACTTCTGGGTTTTGTTTGTATAGGTCACATGTGCTGACAGAGAGAAATCATCTTCCGGGAGGGTGGCAACACCACAATCCTTCTCCTCCATTTTCCTCATGGGAATTTGGGTATACATATACTCCCAGTGCGTTTTTAAGCTGTTGGGTTCAGGGCTCAAATCACACTGTCAGGCATGTGGGATCCAGCTGCTTTAACCCCTGCACCACCTGCTAGCCCTAAATGCATTACTCCTGAAAGCCAGTATTTTACATAACTTTGGAAACTGGAGGAACCAGGAGGTAGTGAGGTGGTTACAGGCGCTAGATTCCCACATGGCCAACTGTGGTTCAAGTCCTGGACCTGACAGCTTGCTCTCTCACCTTCCCTTTCCCTTTCTCTCTGTTTCTGTCCAGTCAAATAGAAAAAATAATAATAACAAATGGAATTAAATAAACAAATAATTCTTTTTAAAAAATGGAAACTGGAGTCCTAAGGCAGGATAAATGGTACTTTTTGTTAAAAAAGAATTACTTTTATTTAACTTTATTTATTATTATTATCATTATTATTTCCCAGTTTGACCCGAGAGAGACAGGGAGAGAGAGAGGAAGGGAACAAGCAAGCCACCAGGTCTGAGACTTGAACCATGGTTGGCCATGTGGGAGTCCAGCGCCTTTAAATTTACTTTTTAAGGTTTCGCACCCAGCATGATTTTCAAGCTGCCAGGTCTGGGCCAACTGTGGTTGGTCATGTGATTAACTTCCATGCTACCTGCTGACCCCAATAGGTGTATTCTTAACCCTTAAATTAGAAGTTTTTTAGGATGGGATGTAAGAAATGAGAGTAAGATCTACTAGCAAAAGAATAACAATTTTAAGTATTAATTTTGAATTCCTTCACTTGTCGTTATGCATTTATAGATACACACTACTAAGAAAAAGTGTTGACCAAAAATATTCTATATTGGGCAGGAAATTAGATATACTTCTTCTTATTTCTACAATTATGGCTAAAGACTTTTAAAAACTCTAACCTTTACCTTTATTCTCAGCTTTTGAGAAGCTAGGTGATGTTTCATTGGGCTTAATGTTTTCTTTATTACCCGCAGGAGAGCTCTGTCTCTGATCTTGAAGCCTGGAATCTTTAGCTAGAAAACAATTTAAAAACCAAAAACAAAACCAAAAAAACTCAGTTAGACAAAAACGTAGAAAAATAAAATGGAAAAACACTCAATTATTCTGATTTGCTATGCTTTTAAACAGAGGCTTTTCTCCTTTGCAGATACCATATGAAACACCAATAATTTAATTTTAAGTATATATCAATAATTCCCAGAATGTTAACTTCCATTAAAATAGAACTGAATATCAAATTTGTAGCTTTACTTAAGCACCTAACCTCAGTTACATTTTAAATGTGCTGTCAAAATGTGTGTCTATGAATAAAACAACAAACTTTTTCATATAACGTCCATCCCCTAACACTCAATTCCACAGATGATACAATATATCTGGAAGCCCTTTCTTACACACCCTCAATAGATGGAGTAACAGCTCTGTTGGATGCAGGACTAGCAGGAGTAGGAGATGCAGCTGGAACAGGCGTGGCGACAGCATCAGCTGGAATAATACCAGCTTGAGGAGAAGCAAGAACTGGCCCACTGGGAGTATTTCCAATACTGTTCTGTCTAGGAGACCTGGGTCTGTGAGTTTTAGGGGATAATCTTGGAACTAGGAGAAAGAAAAGTTATTTATTACATTCTCAACTCAAATGCTACCTCCCTCAAAGAAGCTTCTCTAAAGATTCAGGTAAAATAATTCTCTACAGTCCCCATACTTTATCCCATTACCCTGTTTTCTTTTTTAATGTCTATGAAACAGCGGTGGGAATCAAGAACTCAGAAATTTGAAGACAGCAACTGCTAATATGCAAGTACAACTATGGCTTCCCCTCCTAACTAAATGTATTACTTCTGGGTTTTGTTTGTATAGGTCACATGTGCTGACAGAGAGAAATCATCTTCCGGGAGGGTGGCAACACCACAATCCTTCTCCTCCATTTTCCTCATGGGAATTTGGGTATACATATACTCCCAGTGCGTTTTTAAGCTGTTGGGTTCAGGGCTCAAATCACACTGTCAGGCATGTGGGATCCAGCTGCTTTAACCCCTGCACCACCTGCTAGCCCTAAATGCATTACTCCTGAAAGCCAGTATTTTACATAACTTTGGAAACTGGAGGAACCAGGAGGTAGTGAGGTGGTTACAGGCGCTAGATTCCCACATGGCCAACTGTGGTTCAAGTCCTGGACCTGACAGCTTGCTCTCTCACCTTCCCTTTCCCTTTCTCTCTGTTTCTGTCCAGTCAAATAGAAAAAATAATAATAACAAATGGAATTAAATAAACAAATAATTCTTTTTAAAAAATGGAAACTGGAGTCCTAAGGCAGGATAAATGGTACTTTTTGTTAAAAAAGAATTACTTTTATTTAACTTTATTTATTATTATTATCATTATTATTTCCCAGTTTGACCCGAGAGAGACAGGGAGAGAGAGAGGAAGGGAACAAGCAAGCCACCAGGTCTGAGACTTGAACCATGGTTGGCCATGTGGGAGTCCAGCGCCTTTAACCACCATGCCACTTGCCAGCCCCAGGATAAATGGTACTTTTAAAAATAAGGGCCAGCAGGTGACATGGTGCTAGTTAAGGTGCTAAATTCCCACATGACCTACCATGGTTAGAGAAATCACAACAGGCAACAGAGCATGAGTGCCCAGAATTCCAAGAGGAGAATGGAGGAAAAGGGATTACAGCATAGTCATCCCCGTTGGGGGCTGATTTCTCACTTTCCCTCTCTCTCTCTCTTCAGTAAGTGCACACACATTATGGCAAAAAAAAAAAACCTAAAATAAATATTGAGTTTTGGAAAAGTCATGTCGTATTTTTCTATGCAAAAAGGCATCGAAACTTTTCCAACCACCCAATAAATAAATAAAGATAGCAACATTCTATGCTACTATCAGAAGCTGGACAGGCTTCTTCATAAAAAAGGTGAAAGGAAGATCCCTAAAAAATAGGCTTATTTCTCCTTCAAAAAAAAGTACATTAAAACAAGACGGGAATATGAGCCACCGAAATAGTGCTCCATACCACACTGTACCTATTTTCTATTAGAGGGTACCTTAGAACACTGGGGTAGGCCCCCCCCCAGGTGGTACACGTGGTAGTGCACTGAGCCACGTTCTAGAAGCAACATGGTGCATGGCAGGAGCAGATCCCCAGTTGGCTCGGTAATATGCTGGGTGTGTGCCAGCAGCCAAGATCCTGAACTAGAGAGTTGGGGAAGGGGAATTGCAATGTGATGAGACCCTGTCAAGGGTGCTTTCAATCTCTCTCTCTCAGTCTCATGAGTATGCACACTCTTTATCATGAATAAAATAAACTTTAAACAACAACAAAACTACAGAGAATATTCATATTTATGAACCACACAGGAATCTCATCGTGAGCCTATAAAGTAGGCGGGCCATAATTACTAATTGAGAAAACTGAAATTATGAATGACAGCATGACTTGCTCTAACATAGAATGAGTAGGTGGTAGAGCCCAAAATAAAAATGTAGGTTTCCCAATTCTTACTCTTGTAAGTATATACACGTAACACATCCTCAAACAGAGCTTTGGCTCAGTCCTTCTACATCCAGTATAATTAACAAATGAACGGTTATTCTCCCTCAAGCCAAGTTACCTACCCCCACTGACCACTGACGACCAGGTTCCCCCCGCGGGGCTGGTCCTTGCCACAGGAGGAGGAGCTGCTTCACTTGGTGGATTGTGGGATACAAATTCTAGGCCACTGGATATGGAGCCCCTCCCAGCAGAAACTCTGTGATTTCGAGGGTGTCGCTGGGCCTTTGGGGACATCCTCGGAGGCCCTAAGAAAGCAACAGGGAACACCACATGAATGCCACAAAGCCCATTAGCACTACTTTTCTGGTAAACACACACATTTTCTTTCTCATTCTCTCACTCTCATTTCTCATTAGTTAAAAAAAGGAAAAAAAAATGTCGGATATATTTTTAGTCGTATTAAACATCAGCTTTTTCAGAATTATTTTGTGAAATGCCAAAATGTTTTAGAAATAAAATTTATTTTACCTCCCTTTGTTTTTAAGGAAAGGGAGAGAGGAGGTTGGTGGTAAGAAATTAAACGATATGATGTCAAGGCTCCAGAAAGAACTTTACCAGTTTGTTTATTCTATATACCCATTATTTGTAGGCATATACAAATTTAAAAAAATAGAAGCTATGCCTTAATGATGGAATAATTTTTACTCTACCATAGACTTTCACCTTTTCCCCCCAAATTGTCTTTTACTTAAATTAGAATTAAATTAAAATTAGAATAAAATTTAAATAAAAGAATCTTAATCACTACATATCCCTGTACTGTTAAAATATATGTATTGGGTCATCAGAAAAGTCATGATGCAATTTTTCATAGAAAAAGACATCATGACTTTTCTAATAACCTAACACATACCCTTCTTAAATGTCTCCAAAATCTTAGTTTATCTGCTTCTTCTTTTGCCACAATCATTTATCTTACAATTCGTGGCTTAAAACGGTCCTGACTGGAAACTGTAAGCAGTTTTTCAACAAGCTGGAAGCTAAACATTCTACTGTTGGTGCATGACCTTGGAGACCATGAAAACGGACATTTGGGGCGTCAGAATTCCACATCATCTGTTCTGCCACCCCCTCAGGAATTTCTTCCTAAAGCAGTCTCCTGTACTCCACCCTGCTCCAAACTCTTTTTAGAACATCAAATTAATGTGTGTCCCCAGTAGAAATTTAATAGCAGACATGATCTTTTAAAAGAGGGTTAGTGTTATAGATTGTAATTTTTCAAATGCAGATACCCAGCATCCCCAAATAACGCAGGTCTATTTCTGTGTGAGTAGTCCACGAACGGTCTTTCCATCTTAATGTGGTAAAGATGTTGATAACTATTAACAGCCATGTTTCATCTAATACATTTAATGATATAAACATCACTTATTCAAACAATGGGCTGAAATGAGTATTTCAACAGAATTTCACTCTGCATTTAGTGGTCACTATCAAAGGTACTTTTGAATAAATAAGTCATCTCAAAATTAGAGAAACTTGCTGTTCAAGGCTAGACACCAGTCAAGGTCACACGACCTTCCTAACTAATGGGCAACAATTCACTTAAAAGTAGCCAACACAGTTTTCTTCAGGGAAGCAGGTTATGCAGAAAATCTTATTACTCTAGTATAAGGTATATCAACTATGATTTTTAATGAACAAATCAGATTAAAATTTAAACAAATATTCTGAACTAATATCAAAAGGACATTGTAATTTAGAAAAAAAATATTTTAAATTTATATACTACATTTAAATTAAAATACTGACTTTCTACAACTTATCCATATATTTGGTATACGACAGTCATGGATTAAGCATAAAGTACTAAATAAGAATTACAGATTTTTATTCTTTTTGACAGGGTCAAATAAAATACCTTAAGATTCAAATTCATTCCTGGTTTTTATCAATGACATTATCTTTGATAAAAGACTTCTCAGACTGAAGCAGCCATTCAGTATAGCATTGAAAAGTTAACTTTTTTATATTACTCAATCACATTTAGAATTCATCATTCTAAAAAGCAAGACTCTATTGTAACATATGAGTAGACACACAGGCTGTCATTCTCAAAAAGGACCCCTACAACACCATTCCTGCCTGTGGCCGACAGCAAGAGTCACCAGTACCTTGGACATGGAGCTGTAAAGTTAGTGGTTGACACCAAGTCCAAGACTGGGGGAAGAAGGTTCACCTGTTTACCACTACCCAGTGCATACGGCATCACTGAGGCAGGGACAGTCCTGAGGCAGACCTCGCCGGGGCTGTAAAGGAGCATCGTTACCAAGCAGAGATAAAACCTCTTTTCGTACAATTCAGGATAGTTCAAAGCTTCACATAGCATGTATCAAATTTCTAATGAACAAAAGGTTAATAGAAATAGTTTTAATAAACTAAAGTTAAAACACGGAAATTATAGGTTATTAAATAATGAAGAGGAAACTATTTGTAATTATAAACTCACATAGGAGTTAAACAAAGACAAACAAAAACATGAACAAATTGTGGTATTGTACCTTCTGAAGACATGCGTTTAGGCATAGTAGAGACAGGAGCTGGAGAACCATGAGCAGAGGGGTGAGACGGGGGTCTGGATGGCCGCGAGGGGGGCCTGGAGGGCGGCCGTGTAGGGGTGGCTGCCCGAGGTGGAAGAGAGTTGGGACCTGACTGGTAGCGAGAAGGTGGGCGAGAGGAAGGAGATGGGCAAGGCGATGGCCAGGGAACACCTGACAGAACAAATGATATGAAGGAAAGTATAAAAACTAAAGAAAAAAATGAGGGAAAAAAGTAAACAGAAAAAAAAGTAAAATGACAAAAATGATTTCTTGCACATTTTAACCCTTTGAGGACAGTCATTTGATTTGTGATAAATTTTAGCATAACTTAACTGACATAAATTCACATTTTACTTTAACCTCCTTAAAATTAAGTCTGTTTAAATGAATACACGTTCCCAAAGGGTTAATTAGGATCTACACATACTACTGAAGAAGACAGTTAAGACTACACCTAGTAATCCTGCTTCTCTAACTGCTCCTCAGTAATCAGTTGTTACAAGGAGTATAGCATATACCAGATAACTTCTCACAACAAATCACAATAATTCCTACTCAGGAGCAAGATTATTTACAATATTAGTTTTAGCTTTGAAACATAAAGAAAATAAGCAGCAATTATATTTAAGTTAAAATGCTGGTTCTTTACAATCATCTCTAATTGTCAACAGGTTTATACTTGAAGCAAAGATCAGTTTGAAATCTCATTAAGCAAGTCCCATTTAAGTAAAATATAACAATATTTCTACTATTTTCTACAGTAACAGGAGTTACAAAAATTAATATTCATTGCTCTTTCAAAACAAAACAAAAAAACAAATCTTAATCTCACTGAAACAGAAAAAGAAGGGGACCTTCTAAGTAACTTATGCAGTTAAAACTTATCTTAGAGACTGCTTAATAAAGAACGCAGCTACAGAGCAGTCATCACCAAACAAGCTGGCATGGATGAACAAGCACAGGTCAAACTACAGCTGACATCTGCTACATATGCCACTTACCTTAATCTCGGGAGACAGTCCAGGCCTCCTCCCCACAGGGTTCCACACACTTGAGTATCAAACATTTCCCAGCCCCTTTCTGCTTTTTACTTTGAAATTCTGTTTATGAACAGCTACAAATCTTTACTCAGTGAGCAAAGACATTTCACCCCCAATACGAAGTACATACAGAAAATACTCAAGAGTGTTCATTTGGAGAGGAATTCTGGAGAAAAGACTCAATGGGAACAAATGAAATTGGAAACTCGGTGTTCTCTATTTTATTTTTCTATGGTAACTTTCCAAACTGAAGTACAAATATCCGAATGCGCCCTCTTGCCCCCAAGTTAGCAGCTCATCCCCATATCTGCTTACCACCTCCAGTTCTGCTGCTGTTCAGCATCCCTGCCTTATATAAAAGGGCCATTATGAACTATAGTCAACCTAGATTTAGAGGTAGAATAGAAAATGTCTACCTACTAAAGACTCAAGTATCTTTTACTTAAGTTGCTAAACTACAACATTCACATTTGACTAAGGGTTGATTTTTTTTTTTTTTTAATTTGACCAGAGAGACAGAGAAAGGGAGAAAGCAAGCTGCCAGGTCTGGGACTTGAACTATGGTTGGCCATGTGCGAATCCAGTGCCTTTAACTACCACATCACCTGCCAGACCCAACTTTTTGTTTGTTTGTTTTTAAGCACATTTCTCCTATTACTTTCTTCTTCTTCTTCTTTTTTTTTTTTGAGAGGTTTTTGCTATAGGGCACGTGTGCTTGCCAGATAGAGAGAGAGAGATAGAGAGATAGAAAGCAGGAAATCACCCCCCAGGGGGGATGGCCACGCCACAATCCCTTCTCCTCCATTCTCCTCTTGGGATCTTGGGCACGCACGCCCGGCGTGAGTTTAAGCCACCGGGTCCGGGATGCGAACTGCGGTCAACTACATGGGAGTCCAGCGACATAGCCATTACGTTAACTGCTGGTCTCTCTTCTCTTTTTTCGTTAGAGAGTTTTGTAATAGGGCATGTGTGCTTGCCAAAGAGACAGAAAGTGAGAAATCGCCCTCTGGGGGGAATGGCCACGCCACAATTCTTTTTCTCCTCCATTCTTCTCTTGGGATTTTGGGCACACGTGCATGCACACCCAGTGTGAGTTTAAGTCACCGGGTCTGGGACTGAAACCGTGGTCAACTCAGTGGGAGTCCAGCATGGTAGCCATTACGCCATCTGCTGGTCCCTCTATCACTTTCTTCACTGACGCTTGGTTATGTCTTGAATTCTAAGTTACTTTGAATCTTGAAAAAAAAAAAAAAAGCATATAAATATGAATAAGAATATGTAAAAAACTGAATATAAATTGTATATAAACCGAATATAAATATGTAAACAATTAGGGAAAATAGGTATTAACTGCTGTTTCATATAGATTAGAATTTCCATATAAATAACACCTAAGTAATTTTATTACCTAATGTTTTTATAATTGAGAATTTACCCAAAGTTTCCAATTTCTTTATATGTGGAGTGTGTTTTTAGCCAACTAAATGTCTGGGTTAAATTTGGCACTTTATTTTAGTGCATGATGAGTATTTCATCATGCTAAATACTGTATATGCCAATGACTTACTAATGTGATATCCACAAAAGCAAATTTTAAGTAATTTCAGGTGAAAACCACTCCACAAAAATCATTAAAGGTGTGCACATTCTTAACAATCATGCAAATTTAGCATTTAGAAAACTGTGTATTTGATCACTGTCACTGACAAATTTGGTCAAAATACTTGCCTCCATTGACTACTCTTTGGTCTGAAGCAGAACTCGGGTTGAAATCTGAAGTGTGAGAAGTGGATCTTGATGGCATGGAGCCCGATCCAGGCTGGCCCACACGTGGCGAATTCTGTCTCCCACTTCCCCAGGATATCACTTCTCTATTTCTTTGTCCAGGAGGAATATATTTATTTTCCCTGAAAATGAGAGATACTCTAAATCATTTTATCCTAAAAGATACTAGTGCAGAGAAACATATCTAAAATTAGTCATCTAGGCAGAAGAGAAAGCGTATTACAGAAAGGTTCACCACTAGGCCACACTGCCTTTCTCCTGCCGCTCCAGTTCTTCCACACTGCACTGAGTTCCAGCCTCTGGCCTTTCCCTTCCCTCAGGTTCTCCTCCTTAGCACAAGGTCTAACAGATGTGTTGATTCCCATCCTTCCTGATCTCATGACGACTGATCCTACTGACTATGGGCTATCTTAAACTTGGTGTGTCTTTGACCTTCTCAACTTTATTTTTCCTGAGATTTCTTCACTCTCTGGCTATTTGGTGGTTTTCGTAGTTTCAAATCCACATTGGTAATCCCACAGTCCCACCATCTCCCATTGGACAAGTCGATTCAAATCATCACTCTAAGCTGTGAGAGCCTTGCAGACACGATGGAACATTTGCTCTACTAGATATGTAGCAGGTACTTGTCACACATGCATATAAATGAAGCAAAGGCTCACGAGCCCCTCATATGACATAAATGGCACAAATGGCATCATTGTTTCTCTCTTTAAATTTGTCCCATGTTTCCCATTTCCATCAATTTGCTTAGTTATCAGATCAATCTCAGAGTCACACTTGGTTTTTCTAATGTTTCTATCATCAGCCCTGGTCTAGCCAGTTACCAAGTTCTCACAGCTGAACTACAGCATGTCAGCACACTAACTTGGTCTCCTGTTTCAGCCAGTCCTCAATACTCCAGAGTGTTTGCCCCTCCCTGCCTACAGGGCACTCTTGAGCATAATACACAAAGTCCTGCAACTACCTCAGTTCCTATCAGCAACTGCCATGCACCCCCAACACCAACCCTGTGTTCCAGACACATGAAATAATCAGCCTTTTCCTGAGCCAGCCAGGTCCTCTCACAAGTCTACGTTTTTGCACATGCCTTTTTACCAGGTAAGAAATTCTTCTCCCATAATCCTCTATGAATGGCAGACAGACCTTAGTATCCTGTCACAAGATGTCCCTTCCTCAGTGAGGAATTCTGACTCCACAAGTTATGCTAGTTCTTCCTCACTCAGATTGCTCCCTGCACTTTGAACACACCTTTAATCTAGATCAAGTCATACTGCACTGTTGCAATACTGTGTGTAACTCCCTCCCCCCAGGCCTAGTCATTATTCTTCAAAGAGCTCTTTGAGACCTTGGCTTGCTCATCACTGAATATCCAACTTGGCTCCACAGAGCTGACACTCAAAAAAATATTCTCCAAGTTTACCATGATCTTTTCTCTAAAAGACTTCTAAACCAATTCCATCTGCATTTTCTACCTAGGCTACATCAAAGAAAGAGGAAATATAGTAATAATACCCCTTCTCACACAGACCTTGAGTTGTGTATCCAAAATACTGCATCATGATTTCCTTTAAATACCTAGTGTTTATGCTGTGCCCCTCACGTTCACTGGAATTTCTCTGAACAGCTGTGTATTTTTCTTCCTCGCTCCTATCATCATTTTCCAGGGCCACACGAGCTTTGTACTGGGCACTTGATTCAATTTCTTCTGCTAACTGGTTTGCCCTTGCTTCCCGTTTTAAAAATTCTTCTGAGTTATCCCTTTCTAAGGGTACTCTGAAACATGAGAAAAAGAAAATCAAAGTGAGTATTATAAAGTTCTAGGTTTTTATTTCGGTCACAATAAACCATTAAGAAAGTTTAGCATTTGGAATACTGGTTAAAAATGTAAGAGTTACAGTGATCAGTTTATTTATAAGTCAAAATTTTTATTTTATTTTTTCTGTTCCCTTGTTCCTGGGGAAACATATTTCGAACACTGGTTAAAGTGTTTACCATAATCTCCAATATAAATTTTTTAAAAGCAAAAGAAAAAATTTACTTAAAGAATAAAGACGGCACAGGGAAACCACATTTATTCTGTTTTAGTGGGATTTTATCAGCCTAGATAGTAATAGAATAATTCTTTCACAGTTATTTAAGATAAAAACCAAAGAAACATTTATTCAACATTATAATTTAAGTGGATGAAAATCAAAGACAAGTACACTAAAATAAAAGCAAATTTTAACTTACGTGTATGAAGATAAACTGCTATCATATGTAGACACTACACCATAATTTTCTTCATTATATCGAAACATATCATTGGGATCCCATCCATTAGACTAGAAAAAAAATGAAGCTCATTTTTCAAAATGATAAAGTATTTGTCTTCTTTAATTCAGTTATAATTAATATCTACACTAACACTATCTAGCAAATTATACTAGCAAAATCCAGCAAATTAAAAATGTTCTTTAAAATGTTAAGACCTGGGGCCAGCAGGTGGTATGGTGGTTAAGGTGCTGGACTCCCACATGACTGATGGCAGTTCAAGTCCCAGACCTGGTGGCTTGCTTTCTCACTTTCCCTTTCTCTCTCTCTCATCAAATTAAAATAATTAACAATAACAGATAACATTTTTTTTTTTTGGAGCGGTTTTTGCTAGGGCATGTGCGCTCACCAGAAAGAGACAGAGAGACAGAAAGTGAGAAATCATCCCTCAGGGGGGATGGCCACGCCACAATCCCTTCTCCTCCACTCTCCTCTCAGGATCTTGGGCACTGACACACATATGCACCCAGCCTGAGTTTAAACCGCTGGGTCCGGGATTCGAAGTGCGGTCGACTACATGGGAGTCCAGCGACATAGCCATTATGCCAACTGCTAGTCCCACAAATATTTTTTTTTTAAAAAAGGGGGCTAGCAGGTGGTATGGAGGCTGAAGGTGCTTGACTCCCATACGGCTGACCACAGCTCATATCTCAGACCTGGTGGCTTGCTTTCTCACTCCCCCCCACACTCTGTCCCTCTCTGATCAAATTAGAATAAATGAATAAATAAAGTTAAATAATTCTTTTAAAAAATCAAAATGTTTGACCATTTTGGTGACCTAATAAAATATGAGCTTTCAGGTCTGGATGAGAGCGAGTGAGCCTAGGATAGAGTGAGAAAGTGCTCCCCGGGGAACGTCTGTGCCGCAGTCTCTCCATCGCCCTCCTGGGATCTGGGCGCACACATGCCCCTCATGTGTTTTTCAAATCTCTGGTTAGTCATGTGGGATCCAGCTACCTTAACTACCATGCCACTGGCTGGCCCACAAAGCACATGTGTATTTTAGATTTTGATAAATATTGCTAGATTCTTTCTAGAAAGCCTTTATTTAATGCACTTCACTACTAGTGTAAAAAGAATGCCTGTCTCCTCATACTCTGTACACAGGTGACGTGGAGCACAGACCTGCGAACCAGCCTATCCGGTTCTATGTGACACTGCTGGATGACTGACAATGGCAAGTTGCCTATGTGTCTCCAGTTTCACAACTGGAAAAGAAGTCAAAGCAGGACATTTTAGCTTTTTGTCTAAGAAAGAGAAGATACTAATTATCAAGTTCTTACTATTGCCTTAAACGTCAAACACAGATTTCTCAAGAATTCTCTCTTCTACTCAATGGAAGATTTTTTTGTCCAACTCAGATTTTTCTACCTTAACATAAATTTTTGGCAAGAGACTGATTTATATCTCTATGCGTGCTATCCTAAAGGTAGAGTATTAAGGCATTTGATTTTGAGATGACATGTTATGGAAAAATAAACATACTACACAAGCAGAGGCATTTTGGAAATAGCCAAGTTTTGAACAGAATGATCCCAATATAAGAGCAAGAAATTTACATCATGTTTTAATTCTGATTAACCACATTATTTATCTTAACAATTAGTACTTTCTCTCCTTCAAACAGGAAGCTTAAAATGTCCTACTTCAGCCTCATCTCTAGGTAAAGCTGGCAGAAGGAAGGCACCTCATTCCTTTGGCCCTTACTGTGCAGGACATTCAAAGCAAAACATGCTGGCACTTCTCATAGCTTCTCCTTTAAGTTTATAAATCACTAATTATGACTTACTGTAATCACAAAGAGGTAATTCCTGAGCACTCATCAGAATAGACAGCATTCCCACTTAACCCTTCTAAATAAGGCAACAAAGAAATATTCCCTGTCAACTGTGAGAAAGTCTCTACACAACAAAACTGCTGCTCTAAATATATCTGCTACAACAAAACATACTAAAATAAAGCCAAGTGGTAGGCTGTCATATGCATGCCACACTGACCAGAGTCTGACCCTAACTAGTCATGAAGATTGTACTCACTACGTCATTCTCCAAAGCCTCCAGTTCCTCGCTGGTAGGAAGTTCCCCTGCGTCCCAGGGCTCCAGGTCCTTCTCTTTGTGTTCACCGTTGACTTTAGCACTGATAGCAGAGTCAGTAAAGGCATCTGCAAAGAACAGTTGGGGTTGAAAGCTCATACAGCAGGACAATTGGCTACACTAAGACACACATGAATTATCAACAATCAAAGATGTATGCTGGGGCCAGCAAGTGGCATGGTGGTTAAGGCACTGGACTCCCACATAGCCAATCACAGTTCAAGCCTTCGAGCCAGCAGCTTGAAAATCACACAGTGCGTGTGCATGCATGGCCAAAAATCCTGAGAGGAGAATGGAGGAGGGATTGTGATGTGACCATTCCCCTAGAGGGGAGGGTGATCTCTCCCTTTCCCTTTGTCTCTCTCTAGCCAGCGCATGCACCCTGTAACAAAAAACTAAAAAAAATTATGAAAAGTAAATTTATGATATAGAAAAAATAACACTAACAGTATACTTACAAATCTAATTCAGTAAATGGCATAAAAGTTGATTATTAATAAAGAAATATGAAACATGTTAAACTACTCATACAATTCATTAAAGATAATTACTTCGCTTCCTAAATTACCCAGAAAACTGTTCATCTAAAACAAGATGGTCTTTGCTTAGTGGACCCACTAATTTACATCTTCAGAGGACTTGCAGCAGAATACTTTGTAACTTTCCAAATTCCTGTGTCTAAAGCAGAGGTCACTGACCTTCCGCACTCTCCTGTTAGTAACAGCAGCCGGTCTGGGCAACTTTATTTTTCCTGAGATTTCTTCACTCTCTGGCTATTTGGTGGTTTTCGTAGTTTCAAATCCACATTGGTAATCCCACAGTCCCACCATCTCCCATTGGACAAGTCGATTCAAATCATCACTCTAAGCTGTGAGAGCCTTGCAGACACGATGGAACATTTGCTCTACTAGATATGTAGCAGGTACTTGTCACACATGCATATAAATGAAGCAAAGGCTCACGAGCCCCTCATATGACATAAATGGCACAAATGGCATCATTGTTTCTCTCTTTAAATTTGTCCCATGTTTCCCATTTCCATCAATTTGCTTAGTTATCAGATCAATCTCAGAGTCACACTTGGTTTTTCTAATGTTTCTATCATCAGCCCTGGTCTAGCCAGTTACCAAGTTCTCACAGCTGAACTACAGCATGTCAGCACACTAACTTGGTCTCCTGTTTCAGCCAGTCCTCAATACTCCAGAGTGTTTGCCCCTCCCTGCCTACAGGGCACTCTTGAGCATAATACACAAAGTCCTGCAACTACCTCAGTTCCTATCAGCAACTGCCATGCACCCCCAACACCAACCCTGTGTTCCAGACACATGAAATAATCAGCCTTTTCCTGAGCCAGCCAGGTCCTCTCACAAGTCTACGTTTTTGCACATGCCTTTTTACCAGGTAAGAAATTCTTCTCCCATAATCCTCTATGAATGGCAGACAGACCTTAGTATCCTGTCACAAGATGTCCCTTCCTCAGTGAGGAATTCTGACTCCACAAGTTATGCTAGTTCTTCCTCACTCAGATTGCTCCCTGCACTTTGAACACACCTTTAATCTAGATCAAGTCATACTGCACTGTTGCAATACTGTGTGTAACTCCCTCCCCCCAGGCCTAGTCATTATTCTTCAAAGAGCTCTTTGAGACCTTGGCTTGCTCATCACTGAATATCCAACTTGGCTCCACAGAGCTGACACTCAAAAAAATATTCTCCAAGTTTACCATGATCTTTTCTCTAAAAGACTTCTAAACCAATTCCATCTGCATTTTCTACCTAGGCTACATCAAAGAAAGAGGAAATATAGTAATAATACCCCTTCTCACACAGACCTTGAGTTGTGTATCCAAAATACTGCATCATGATTTCCTTTAAATACCTAGTGTTTATGCTGTGCCCCTCACGTTCACTGGAATTTCTCTGAACAGCTGTGTATTTTTCTTCCTCGCTCCTATCATCATTTTCCAGGGCCACACGAGCTTTGTACTGGGCACTTGATTCAATTTCTTCTGCTAACTGGTTTGCCCTTGCTTCCCGTTTTAAAAATTCTTCTGAGTTATCCCTTTCTAAGGGTACTCTGAAACATGAGAAAAAGAAAATCAAAGTGAGTATTATAAAGTTCTAGGTTTTTATTTCGGTCACAATAAACCATTAAGAAAGTTTAGCATTTGGAATACTGGTTAAAAATGTAAGAGTTACAGTGATCAGTTTATTTATAAGTCAAAATTTTTATTTTATTTTTTCTGTTCCCTTGTTCCTGGGGAAACATATTTCGAACACTGGTTAAAGTGTTTACCATAATCTCCAATATAAATTTTTTAAAAGCAAAAGAAAAAATTTACTTAAAGAATAAAGACGGCACAGGGAAACCACATTTATTCTGTTTTAGTGGGATTTTATCAGCCTAGATAGTAATAGAATAATTCTTTCACAGTTATTTAAGATAAAAACCAAAGAAACATTTATTCAACATTATAATTTAAGTGGATGAAAATCAAAGACAAGTACACTAAAATAAAAGCAAATTTTAACTTACGTGTATGAAGATAAACTGCTATCATATGTAGACACTACACCATAATTTTCTTCATTATATCGAAACATATCATTGGGATCCCATCCATTAGACTAGAAAAAAAATGAAGCTCATTTTTCAAAATGATAAAGTATTTGTCTTCTTTAATTCAGTTATAATTAATATCTACACTAACACTATCTAGCAAATTATACTAGCAAAATCCAGCAAATTAAAAATGTTCTTTAAAATGTTAAGACCTGGGGCCAGCAGGTGGTATGGTGGTTAAGGTGCTGGACTCCCACATGACTGCTGGCAGTTCAAGTCCCAGACCTGGTGGCTTGCTTTCGTCATTTTCTTCTCTCTGTCTCTCTCTCTCTCTCTGGTCAAATTAAAAAATAACAACAAATGGAATTAAATAAATAATTACTTCTTTAAAAAATAATCGTATGGGGCAGCAGGTGGCATGGAGAATAAGGCACTGAACCTTGCAGGGTGAACTACACAGTTCAAGTCCCGGACCCGGCGGCCTGAAAACTCATGCTGGGTGCATGTGCGTCCGTGCCCAAAATCCCGAGAGGAGAACGGAGTAGAAGGGATTGTGGGGTGGCCATCCCCCCTGAGAAGGTGCTTTCTCACTTTCTTTCTGTCTCTCTCCAGTGAGCACATGTATCCTATTTTTAAAAAAAGGTGAAAAAAAAAAGGTGATGTAGACTTGGACTGGAGGGGAAAAGGCAGGTGTGGTTAAAGAGAACAGTAGGATATCTCAGACCTGGTGGCTTGCTTTCTCACTCCCCCCCACACTCTGTCCCTCTCTGATCAAATTAAAATAAATGAATAAATAAAGTTAAATAATTCTTTTAAAAAATCAAAATGTTTGACCATTTTGGTGACCTAATAAAATATGAGCTTTCAGGTCTGGATGAGAGCGAGTGAGCCTAGGATAGAGTGAGAAAGTGCTCCCCGGGGAACGTCTGTGCCGCAGTCTCTCCATCGCCCTCCTGGGATCTGGGCGCACACATGCCCCTCATGTGTTTTTCAAATCTCTGGTTAGTCATGTGGGATCCAGCTACCTTAACTACCATGCCACTGGCTGGCCCACAAAGCACATGTGTATTTTAGATTTTGATAAATATTGCTAGATTCTTTCTAGAAAGCCTTTATTTAATGCACTTCACTACTAGTGTAAAAAGAATGCCTGTCTCCTCATACTCTGTACACAGGTGACGTGGAGCACAGACCTGCGAACCAGCCTATCCGGTTCTATGTGACACTGCTGGATGACTGACAATGGCAAGTTGCCTATGTGTCTCCAGTTTCACAACTGGAAAAGAAGTCAAAGCAGGACATTTTAGCTTTTTGTCTAAGAAAGAGAAGATACTAATTATCAAGTTCTTACTATTGCCTTAAACGTCAAACACAGATTTCTCAAGAATTCTCTCTTCTACTCAATGGAAGATTTTTTTGTCCAACTCAGATTTTTCTACCTTAACATAAATTTTTGGCAAGAGACTGATTTATATCTCTATGCGTGCTATCCTAAAGGTAGAGTATTAAGGCATTTGATTTTGAGATGACATGTTATGGAAAAATAAACATACTACACAAGCAGAGGCATTTTGGAAATAGCCAAGTTTTGAACAGAATGATCCCAATATAAGAGCAAGAAATTTACATCATGTTTTAATTCTGATTAACCACATTATTTATCTTAACAATTAGTACTTTCTCTCCTTCAAACAGGAAGCTTAAAATGTCCTACTTCAGCCTCATCTCTAGGTAAAGCTGGCAGAAGGAAGGCACCTCATTCCTTTGGCCCTTACTGTGCAGGACATTCAAAGCAAAACATGCTGGCACTTCTCATAGCTTCTCCTTTAAGTTTATAAATCACTAATTATGACTTACTGTAATCACAAAGAGGTAATTCCTGAGCACTCATCAGAATAGACAGCATTCCCACTTAACCCTTCTAAATAAGGCAACAAAGAAATATTCCCTGTCAACTGTGAGAAAGTCTCTACACAACAAAACTGCTGCTCTAAATATATCTGCTACAACAAAACATACTAAAATAAAGCCAAGTGGTAGGCTGTCATATGCATGCCACACTGACCAGAGTCTGACCCTAACTAGTCATGAAGATTGTACTCACTACGTCATTCTCCAAAGCCTCCAGTTCCTCGCTGGTAGGAAGTTCCCCTGCGTCCCAGGGCTCCAGGTCCTTCTCTTTGTGTTCACCGTTGACTTTAGCACTGATAGCAGAGTCAGTAAAGGCATCTGCAAAGAACAGTTGGGGTTGAAAGCTCATACAGCAGGACAATTGGCTACACTAAGACACACATGAATTATCAACAATCAAAGATGTATGCTGGGGCCAGCAAGTGGCATGGTGGTTAAGGCACTGGACTCCCACATAGCCAATCACAGTTCAAGCCTTCGAGCCAGCAGCTTGAAAATCACACAGTGCGTGTGCATGCATGGCCAAAAATCCTGAGAGGAGAATGGAGGAGGGATTGTGATGTGACCATTCCCCTAGAGGGGAGGGTGATCTCTCCCTTTCCCTTTGTCTCTCTCTAGCCAGCGCATGCACCCTGTAACAAAAAACTAAAAAAAATTATGAAAAGTAAATTTATGATATAGAAAAAATAACACTAACAGTATACTTACAAATCTAATTCAGTAAATGGCATAAAAGTTGATTATTAATAAAGAAATATGAAACATGTTAAACTACTCATACAATTCATTAAAGATAATTACTTCGCTTCCTAAATTACCCAGAAAACTGTTCATCTAAAACAAGATGGTCTTTGCTTAGTGGACCCACTAATTTACATCTTCAGAGGACTTGCAGCAGAATACTTTGTAACTTTCCAAATTCCTGTGTCTAAAGCAGAGGTCACTGACCTTCCGCACTCTCCTGTTAGTAACAGCAGCCGTTCTGGGCAGCCCGCCCCATCACAGACTACTTCCTCCTATGAGCTCTGTTCAGGTTAAGCCCCTACAGGATGACCTGTCCCCAGGAAGTTCAGGTGACAATCTTCCTGAACATGTGTGAACACACTCTGATTCACCAGGTCCTCCCCTCTCCTACTCACGTTACTGAGGAGCACCAGTTTGTGAGCATGGCGTGCCATCCATGTGTCCAGCCCAACAATGCAGGCCGGAAGTCACTTCTGTCCACCTGAGAGTTAGTACCCAGCTAAAAAGGTCCATTCAGGCAATGACAATGTTGGGAAATGCTTTGTAGATAATAGGCTTGTGTTTAAACGGCTAGACACACAGGGTGGCACCTGCCACCAGCTAAAACCTGGCCCTACTGGAGAGTACATGCTCCTCCCATCATGCCCTCTACCTTTATGGAAGATGTCTTGGAGAGATGAAAAGAACTGATAGCCTAAGCACACAACTCTCCTTCAAAAGATACAATTCCACAGGGATTTTTGATTTGGCACTGTTTCTATAACTGCCACTGTGCCTTCCTAGTGAATAAGGTGATGCCAAAATCTGAAAAATAATAAATAAATAAAAAAAAAACATTGGGGCCAGCAGGTGGCATGGGGGTTAAAGGTGCTGGATTCTCACATGGCTGACTGCATTTGAGTCCCAGATCCTGATGGCTTGCTCTCTCGTTTTCCCTGGTCAAATTAAATAACAACAACAACAACAATAGTAACAAATAGAATTAAATAAATAAATAATTCTTAAAAATTAAAAAAAAAAGTTGATCAAGACTAGCAGATGGCGTAATGGCCTACGTTGCTGGACTTCCACGTGGTTGACTGTGGTTTGAGTCCCAGAACAAATGGCTTAAAACTCATGCCAGGCACATGTGCGTGCGTGCGGGGCCCAAAATTTTGAGAGGAGAATGGAGAAGGGACTATGGTGTCACCATCCCCCATGGGGGAGTGATTTCTTACTTTCTCTCTTACTGTCTCTCCCTCCCTCCCCACCAGGCGTGAGGGGGAGTGGGTGTGTGTTCACATTCGCATGCACATGTAGGGAATAAGAGCTTCATTGTACTATGCACTTAGCTTGGCAGTTCCACCAGCAGGTCGCCATGAGGGTGGAAAGGAGTACCTGCTAGAAGACTGCCTTTTAGAAAGTTAATCTTGAGGAACTCCTAAGAGATTCTAAGGGACTGATGCTGTCCTCCCAACACTTCGTGTTCAGCTGGAAGCCACTGAAGACCCTAAGAACTTAGCTTTATTTGACACTCACCTAAATCAAGCCTTATTCTACATCATGTTAAAGTCATGTGAATTTGATTGGGGCCAGCAGATGGCATAGTGGTTATATTGTTGGACTTCCACAAGGCTGACTGTGGTTCAAGTCCTGGACCTGGTGGCTCTAAACTCATGCTTGGCACATGTGGATTCATGTCCATGACCCCAGGAGGAGAATGGAGAAGGGACTGCGGCATGGCCATCTCCCCTGGGGGGTGATTTCTAACTTTGTCTCTCTCTCTCTCTCTCTTTCTCTCCCTCTCTCCCTCCCTCCCCACCAAGCAACATGCCCTAAGGCAGAAACTTCTTAAATGATAGTAATAATTTGTTCTGGTCCATGCACTAGATGCTGTAGCTCAGGAGGCTGAGCCCACCCATATGGGGGGCCTGGACCTGATTTCCAGACCACCTTTAAAATGAGATGTAGGGTGGGACCAGCAGATTGCATAATGGTTATGTCGCTGGACTTCTAGGTAGTTGACTGAGGTTGGAGTTTCGGACCGGGCAGCTTAAAAACTTATGCTAGGCATGTGTGTGTGCTCAAAATCCCAAAAGGAGACTGTAGGAGAAGGGACTGTAGTGTGGCCATGCCCCCTGGGGGGTGATTTCTTTGCTGTCTGTCTCTCAGGCAAGCGCATGCACCCTATAGCAAAAAATCTCTCTTAAAAAAAATGAGGCATGGGTGGGAGGGGATTAGCAGATAATGTGATGGTTACATTGTGGGGAGAATAGCAGATAGTGTAATAGTTACATTGTTCAGGGAGAATAGCAGATACTGTATTGGTTACATTGTAGGGGGAGTGGGAGCGATAGCAGATAGTGTAATAGTTACACTGTTGGCCATGCCGCCAACTACCCTTAGAGTCCCAGACCCAATGTCTTAAAACTTATGCCAGGCACGTGTGTGCCCACAATTTTGAGAAGAGAATGGATGAGAAGGACTGCAGCGTGGCCATCCCTCCTGGGGGGTGATTTCTTGATTTCTGTCTCTCTGTTGAGTGCACGCACCCTATAGCAAAAATCTTTCCCAAAATAAAAAAATATGGGGGGAGGGCAGGCCTACAGATAGCATGGAGGTTAAGGTGGCTGGATCCCACATGGCCAACAGAATGGTTTTGAGTGTGAAAAATACACTAGGCACTCGAGTGTGTGCCCAAAATCCCAAGAGAAGAATGGAACCGAAGGGACTGTGGCATGGCCATCTGCCTTCGAGGTGATTTCTCTTTCTCTTTTTTTTTTCTTCTCTCTTTCTCTGTCTCTTTCCGCCCGTCTCCATCTCCAGCAAGCACACACATCCTGTAGCAAAAAGTTTAAAAAAAAAAAGCGAAAGAAAAGAAACGAGGCATGGTGATGCATGCCTGTCATCTGTGATCTCTGCTGCTCAGAAGGCAAAGGCAGAAGAATTGAGACATAGTAAGAACGTGTCTTGAAAAACAAAACAAAAAAAAAAACGGGCCAGCAGGTGACGTAGTGGGTTAAGGTGCTAGAGTCCCACATGGCCGACCATGGTTGGGGGAGTGGGTGTGTGTTCACATTCGCATGCACATGTAGGGAATAAGAGCTTCATTGTACTATGCACTTAGCTTGGCAGTTCCACCAGCAGGTCGCCATGAGGGTGGAAAGGAGTACCTGCTAGAAGACTGCCTTTTAGAAAGTTAATCTTGAGGAACTCCTAAGAGATTCTAAGGGACTGATGCTGTCCTCCCAACACTTCGTGTTCAGCTGGAAGCCACTGAAGACCCTAAGAACTTAGCTTTATTTGACACTCACCTAAATCAAGCCTTATTCTACATCATGTTAAAGTCATGTGAATTTGATTGGGGCCAGCAGATGGCATAGTGGTTATATTGTTGGACTTCCACAAGGCTGACTGTGGTTCAAGTCCTGGACCTGGTGGCTCTAAACTCATGCTTGGCACATGTGGATTCATGTCCATGACCCCAGGAGGAGAATGGAGAAGGGACTGCGGCATGGCCATCTCCCCTGGGGGGTGATTTCTAACTTTGTCTCTCTCTCTCTCTCTCTTTCTCTCCCTCTCTCCCTCCCTCCCCACCAAGCAACATGCCCTAAGGCAGAAACTTCTTAAATGATAGTAATAATTTGTTCTGGTCCATGCACTAGATGCTGTAGCTCAGGAGGCTGAGCCCACCCATATGGGGGGCCTGGACCTGATTTCCAGACCACCTTTAAAATGAGATGTAGGGTGGGACCAGCAGATTGCATAATGGTTATGTCGCTGGACTTCTAGGTAGTTGACTGAGGTTGGAGTTTCGGACCGGGCAGCTTAAAAACTTATGCTAGGCATGTGTGTGTGCTCAAAATCCCAAAAGGAGACTGTAGGAGAAGGGACTGTAGTGTGGCCATGCCCCCTGGGGGGTGATTTCTTTGCTGTCTGTCTCTCAGGCAAGCGCATGCACCCTATAGCAAAAAATCTCTCTTAAAAAAAATGAGGCATGGGTGGGAGGGGATTAGCAGATAATGTGATGGTTACATTGTGGGGAGAATAGCAGATAGTGTAATAGTTACATTGTTCAGGGAGAATAGCAGATACTGTATTGGTTACATTGTAGGGGGAGTGGGAGCGATAGCAGATAGTGTAATAGTTACACTGTTGGCCATGCCGCCAACTACCCTTAGAGTCCCAGACCCAATGTCTTAAAACTTATGCCAGGCACGTGTGTGCCCACAATTTTGAGAAGAGAATGGATGAGAAGGACTGCAGCGTGGCCATCCCTCCTGGGGGGTGATTTCTTGATTTCTGTCTCTCTGTTGAGTGCACGCACCCTATAGCAAAAATCTTTCCCAAAATAAAAAAATATGGGGGGAGGGCAGGCCTACAGATAGCATGGAGGTTAAGGTGGCTGGATCCCACATGGCCAACAGAATGGTTTTGAGTGTGAAAAATACACTAGGCACTCGAGTGTGTGCCCAAAATCCCAAGAGAAGAATGGAACCGAAGGGACTGTGGCATGGCCATCTGCCTTCGAGGTGATTTCTCTTTCTCTTTTTTTTTTCTTCTCTCTTTCTCTGTCTCTTTCCGCCCGTCTCCAT